GTGTTATTTACCTTTTTAAGGATAAAAAGTAATAGATGTATGAAAAATAGATAGTCATGCAAGAGTTAAATAAAAAAAATTAAATTTTTTGTTTTTTTTTTTTTTTTTGCAATTTAAAAATATATAAAAAAATATATTTATTTTTTTTAATTAAATGATTTGAATTGTCAAAATATAGAAGAAAAAATTGTTGACGAAAAGTTTCTTGTAGTATATTTTTGTTTAAATTTATATCAGAATATTTTATATTAACAGTAGTAAAATTTTCATGTTATGTAGTATTTATATAATTTATTTTATATTATGTTAATTATTTATAATTGTTAATTTGAGATAAATGTATTTGAATTTATAAACATTGCTCATAATATTATAAATAAAATATATGTAATTAAAATCAATAATTAATGAGGATTTAAATTTTAAACAGCAATAGAGATTTTCATTAAAGTAAATAAATGCCTCTTAAAAATAATAAATACTCAATAAGTAGATTGTATATAAAAAAGTTTACCGATTTATATCATTAAAATTTTATTTAAATTTCTTAAAATGGTAGAAGAAATTATTCATGTTTTTTGTTAATTTTTTTCTTCAGAACTATAGTAAAGTTACTGGAAGGGAAATTCATAAATCAATGATATATGAGATAAGCTATTTATTTCAAATTATGCTTAATAATTATATTATTAGTACATAAATATAATAAGTAGTATTTTTACAATAAATAAAATTAGTAGAAACCATTTTGCAAGTTCTTTATGAATTTATTTGTTGAAAATTGTACAGAAATCCTTGTGCTATAAATTGATAAATCATTAGTATCTTTTCTATGCTATTTTTTAGGATTATTTATTTTCATTATTAAAATATATTTTTTCTATTATTAAATTATAATATGTACATATATTTTTGTTATTATATTCAATGTAATTTCATTCAATAATAATTTAAATAAAGTAAAAGTGAAAAATCACTCCAAATAACATGCATCCAATAATTAATTAAATATTAAGAAAACTACACATGGCAATATTTGTAATTCACTTTTATTATTAATACTAATATAAACAATTTGAAAAATAAAAAAAAATTTTCTAATTCTTTTGAAAACTTCAATTTTTAACAAAAATTATTAAAATATTTTTTGTAATTTTTTTTTTTTAGATTATACAGATAATTAATGTCTTAATATTTTTGCATAACTAGTCAATAAAGAATATTATTAGTTTCTTTAAAAATTCAACTATGAAATATAAAATAAATCCAAAAATTATATATGAACTTAATTTGTTGAGAGAAATGGCTTAATGTTATACCTGAAAATATTCTGAAATATGTACAATAGGGAAAAGAAAAAAAAATTTCTTTGGATCTAAAATATTTTTATTTGATTATACATCTGTTGATAATTTTTTTTATTTTTTTAAATATTTTTTTTTTTACTTTGATAATTAATTTTTTTTTGAAAATTATTTAAAAGGAAATCGACTATAAAAATTGTTTTTATTATTAAACATAATGAATTTTAATAAAAAAAAATATTAATATATAATTAAGTGTTTATATATACTGAGTATTTAAATTTTAATAAAAATAAATAAAATTTTTTTTATTATACTCTTTAAATGTCTTGTAAGTTAATTCTTTGAAAATAATAAAAATATTAAGTCAATGTATTTTTATATAATGGATTATGAATACCACATGCATAAACTACTTATTTCATGCTAAGCACAATAATTATGTAAAGAATATATATTGAGTATATGTATTTTTATAATTAACGAAATTAAAAGAAACTATTTTACAATTTCTTTATTATTTAAAATGTTCAACATTCAGCAAGTGTATTTCAACAAGCAATTAATAAATTAGTATCATTTATTTATAAATATATATTATAAAACTTCAAAAATATATAAATTTAGCTAGTAATATGAAATATATATACACTTAATAGATTTTCCTAGAATAACTTGTTTTTGTATAGAACAATGGATATATTTTCACATTTTAGTTAACTTTCTGATTTATTATTTAATTGTTTAATGAATTTGGTATATTAACAAGGAAATAAATTAACAAAGAATATTTAGAGTAATATATTCTATTTTTGATTATTCAGGAAATATATTGTTATAAATAAAGTAAATATATGTAATTACCTTTCAAAAACAAAATAAATAGTATATTTTATATAGAATTTGCATTTTCTTAAATAAAAATATATCAATTTAATATTGTTATCATTATTAACATAATAATAATCTTATAAAAGGCGTTTATTTAATTTAATATTAATTTTCTTTATTTTTATTAAAACATAAATTCTTTAGATGAATCCTTTTATTATATATAAAATAACAATTTTTCTTTAGAATTATTAACAGTTCAAATAAAAATAAAAATTTTTTTTTAAAAAATTGAAAACATATTTTAGAAAAAAAAATTTACGAATAAATAAAAAAAAAATATGTGTTTTATTATGCATGTAACAATTTTACTATATGCTATTTTTGTTATAAAAAAAAAATTAACTATTTTTTCAATAAGTGAGCATGCATATTTAGTTTTTTATTTAATTCGTATTTTACTATTATTTCATAGAAGGTTATTAACATCATTTATCAAGTAATTATAAGTTAATTATAATTACACTTTTTTTTAAACTTTTAAATATGTAAGTTATATTTATATATATAATATATTATTATTTCGTTTTAACTTTATTAGATTTACAACTTTTAGCTTTATTTCCATTTATTTTTTTTATATTTTACAATAAGTTTATGTATATATACATAGAATTTTTAGTAAATATTGTCAAAACACTGATGATGCATTGTTGTTTTTCCACATTTTTTATTTATGTATAAATTCTTACATTGCAAATTTTTAAAGAAAAATAAATTATTACTAATATTATTTTAAAATAGTAAGAAATACACCGATTCCATTTAAATTAGAAAAACTAAAAAAAATTAACTAAGTTATATAGGTTTTTGCGATTTTTATTGTAAAATCAATAAAAATTTTATTTTGTTGGATGTGTTTTTTTTCCTATGATGATGCTTCAAAATTTTAAATAAGTGTATATTGCAAATAATAATTACCTGTTTTATTCTTATAGCGGTAATTTTATTTAATTGTAAATTACTATTTTTAAAGTGAAAAAGTCTATAAAAGATCACAATGTATTATTAAAAAATTTATTAATAAAAATAAATTTTTAAAATTTATATATTTTAATGCATTTATGTAATTTTTTATAGGCATTTTTTTTTTTTTATTATAAATAATATAAAATAAATTCCTGATTTTATTTATTTTTTTTTACTATATATATATTAATAAAAACTGTAATTAATATAAAAATTTTAGCTACATTTAAATATGTTCTTAAATATATATATTTTTTATAATAACATTATAATAAATTTAAAAAAAATTATACTTAAGTATGTACATTCTTGTCATTAATTACATAAATAATATTATAATTAGTACTATTGCAACCAAATTATTTTATTTGGATTAATAAATTAAATATATATAATTTATTATTTTAATTTTAATTATCCTCTTCATTTTTTATTTAGTTTTTAATACTAAATCATTTATATATAATGATGAAATCACATGCAAATGATTTTATCTTAAATACATCATTTTTCTCTATTAATATTTAATTGGCTTGATAAATTAATATCGTGTTACTGATGAAGTAACATTATAATAAATTAGGTAGTCATTATTTATTTTACATAATATTTTTTTGCTGCATTTATTATAGTTAACTAAAATGATATATTCAGAGGTTAAGTTGTTTTTTATTTACTTTTTTATTTTTATATTTATATTATCTCATGTTTGGTTCTTATTGCGTAACTAAAAAATTAATAAAAATAATTTAATCTCTTTTTTTTTTAATTATTTAGAATATTACTATTTTCTCACATTACCAATGCGATCAAATCATAAATAAACATAGAGTATAATAAATATTTTAATTAGGTAAATACTTTTTAGAACACATACATTACCCTACTCGTATTTATTTTATTATTATTTTAGTATATATATGGCAAATTAAATTAGATTATGACTATTTTAATATTATGTTTTTTAAATTTTTTTATATATACAGATTTAAATAACTTTGATCTTCATTCTTTATTCCTATTTATAAAACATATTTTTTTAAATTATTTTAATCCCCTATTTAATTAAAAAAAAGTATATTTACGTGAAAAACATGTACAACAGGCTAGTTTATTGTTGAAAAATTATTGTAGTAGTTCATAAGTGTTTCTTTTTCTGAATATTATATATACGCAACAAATTTTTAAATATATACATAATATAATTTTTTTTATAAAAAATCTTCTAAAAGGAATTACTTTTCATTAAATGAATAAAATATTTTGTTCCTTAAAATTATTTCTTTAAAAATCATAGAAGTTGATTAATAGATTCTTTCTATAAGAAACTTTAAATTTCTATTTTAGATTAAACAACTATTACAAAAAATTCAATGATTTATATTTACCATTAAATTATTGGTGTTTTAGTGGTTATTTATACATATTGTTTTTTATTTATTAAATATTAACTATTTCGTATGAAGGTATCATATTTTATGTAATTTAATTAAAATATTTCAAAATAGTTTTTTCTCTTTTTTATTGTTTCCTTGTTTTTTAACTATTATTTATTTATTATATTTTTTTAAAGAAATTAAAGGCATACATCTCATGTAATTTATTTATAAAACTATTTATTACATTGAAAAACTTAGCAAAAGTTACCTACTATAGTCAATAATTATTTTATTTTATAAAATTTGGTTGTTAACAATTAAATATATTGATATATAAAACAATATTGCATTTACATGAAATATTATATAGAAAAGCATTAATATTTAATTATACCTAAATCAGGAATCATATTATCGCATATATTTAAACTAAAAAATAACCTTTGTAAACAAAAAAATGTTGAACTATTCAATAATAATTTTTTATTTTTCTTTTTTAGTATGGACATATCAATACCTTTATAATAAAAGGTATTACGAATTCTAAAATATTTTATCATTTTTTATTTTTATAAATTCATTTTATCAAGTAAAAATAATTTTCACAATTTTAATTTAAACTTTTTCTTATATCATACTCTATATAGTTTTCAGATAAATAATATTAATTTAAAAACAGAGAAATTTTTTACAACATGGAGAACACTAGCAGAAGAACAAGCGACAGCTCCGTTGATCAGAATGGCGAGATCTACTAGTACTATGGAAGGTCGTTTGAATAGATGGTTAGACTTTATTCAAGAAGAATTTTTTAGTAATATAGATAAATTTAAAAGTAATTCAACGGGAACTGATGCGGCAATTCAATGGGTGAAAGATAAAACTAATATTCTTATGCATGCATTGAATTCTACTAATGATACTCAAGATAGAAATTTGTTAAGTCAAACTCTCACTTCATGGAATGAACTTGCGAGAAAACTTCTAAATTCTACGTTGGGTTTAGATTTTAGTAACGGGTCGTCCAGCAGTAATTCTACTGGAAGTAGCAATTTACCAAATATGTCTACACCTTTATCCACATTATCGTCATTTCCCGCAACTGATGTATCTACAGGTGTAGAAAAGATTACTACTATTCTTTCTGAAAATTCTACAGGAATTCCAGGTTTATTATCTACAACTTCAAGTGGTATAGCTCAAGAATCCTCTTTAGGGTATAGTATATCTGAGGGATGTTCAAGCATTTTTTGTGGATCAACTACCATTGCTTTATCTCTTCCTTTTGTTATTATTGGAGGTTTACTTTTTTTTGTATATCTTTATAAGGTAATATATAACTAGTTTTAAAAAAAAGCATTTATTTCTCTTTTCCTATACTCTATATTCTCAAATAAAAACTATATTCATAGAAAAAATATTTTTAACTTATAAATGTCAATTTTTATTATAGTTTACTTGTTTTGGATCATTTCTTGGAAGAAGTAATATAAAAAAAGAAAGAAGAAAAAGAAGGATATATAATGTGTCAATGGAAAATATTGAGGATCCTTATGAAAGTTCACAAGAAACAGAATCTATGAAAAGTACATTAGAAAGTTCGGAAGAAACAGAAGCTAAGAGAAGTAAATTAGAAAGTTCAGAAGAAACAGAAACTAAGGGAAGTAGGTTAGAAAATTCAAAAAAAACAGGAGCTATGAGAAGTGGATTTAACAGCTTAGCTAGGGCATTTGGATACAAATACAGAAATATCTTTCCTTATGTAGATAGTAATTCTTATGAAAATGAAACCGCATTATGATTAAATACGTCAAGAAGCTTACGTTTTAATTTAAATAATTGAATAATATAAAAATTATTAAATAATAAAATGGCATAAATTTTTTTTTTCATTTTATAATTCAAATTATATTTTATTATCAATAAATAAATAATGTGTTCTCAAACTACTTTCTAATTTTTTGTGTTTATATGAAAATACAAATATTATAATAAAGTGTATATTTCTTTTTCTTTAAAAAAAAATTATTTCATTTATTTTGCAAATGAATATGTTTTTCACGAATTATATTTGTGTTTTGTAAACGTTTTTCTATGATTTTTTCAGCTTCATAACTGGTATTTTGCGAATAAATTTGTAAATCATTTTTTAATATGAATTTAAAATATATCATTATTTTTTCCCTAATATTAATTATAACTTTAAATTAGACTTAAATTTTGATTTTAGCTTTAATAATAGTATATTGTCATTTTAAGACAATAATCATTATTCTAGATACTTTTTTTTTTTTTATGATTTTTAATTTATTTTATATGAACGCATTATTTAAAATGTATTTTTTTATAAAAAATATAAAATTATATTTTCAGTACATATTCTCTTGATCAAAGAAAATAAGAATCGTATTCTATAATTATATACCATATATTTAGAATAAATCATTTTTTAAATTTTCATAATCATTCAACATATGATATTACTTCTAATGACTCTTAAACATTCTTAATACTTATACAACTTTAAGCAGTGTTAAAGAATTCTTAATATTAATATTATTTTTTTATCTATAAATATGGTTATTATATTATTAAATGAAATTGTAAAGAATAATACATTAAGAAAAATATTATAATGGATTTTTCTTTTCTCCAGGCGTAGCGACAATTCATACCCGTTTACTAATTGGCTATTAAAATACTTCTTTTATAAGATAAATAGTCAAATTGATAAAGAATATGTAGAAGGATCTATAATTATATTATTTGTTATAATATTATTTATTTTAGATAAATATATATTCTTTATATAATTTTACTATTGATATATCTTCCTTTAAATAACTTTTCTACGGTATTGGTTAATAAAAGGCTCTATTATCCTTTTTAATAATAAAAAGGATTAGCTGTATGAAGAATACGTATTTGGTTGTGCCAAAAAAAAAGAAAAAAAATTATTGGAATTTTTTTTTTCAGATATTTTTCTTTTGAAAAATGGAGATACGTAAAAAAAAAAAAATATATTAATTTTTTTTTTAAAGGATTTAATTGGAGAGAGATTAAAATTGGCAAAATTAAAATCGAGAGTAAGACTTAGCACCAATAAAAATAAGATCTTAAAAAGATAATAATGTTTTCATAAAAGAGTTTAATTTGCATAATATTTATATTTTGAATTTGTGAGAGAAAATTTTATACATATGACAATATAATTTTCACGTAATAAATATTTATATAATTTATTTCCATTTTTACTAATTGTTTATGTTTGTTAATTCAACAGCAATATATTCAAATTGCTGAACATAACTCATAAAAAAGAAATAAATAAATTACAATTAAATAATAATCATTATTCAATAAGGATTTAAATTTTTAATAAAAATAATATTTTTATTAAAGTAAATAAATTACTACTGAAATCAAAGAATGCTGAACGAAGTAGAGCACGTAATTAAGAATCACTCGTTCAAAGCATATAAAAATATATATAATTACAACAAAATAGTAGAGGCATCTCTACATGCTCTTTATTAATTTGTTTGTTCAGTACTCTAGAAAAGTCACAGAAAACCCAGTTAATAAATCAATTAAATAATTAAAAATCACTCATTCGAAGCATATAAAAATATATATAAATACATCAAAAATTGTAGAGGCAACTCTACATGTTCTTTATTATTTGTTTTTTCAGAACTCTAGCAAAGTCACCGAACACCCAGTTAATAAAACAAAATACTATTTTTTTATTAAAAATTTAAATCCTTGTTAATTATCAATTTTAATTGCATATATTTTATTTATAGCATTATGAATTATATTTAACAATTTAAACCAATTTTTCTCAAATTAACAAACATAAATAATTAACAATATACAAAATAAATTATATGAATACTACAAAACATTAAAATTTTACTATTTTTATGATAAAATATTTTTACAAAAATTCCAACAAAAATTCATTACAAAGAAACTTTTTAGACTTCTCTTGTTCTATTTTTTTCTACAATAATTAATTTATTTTAAAAAATTCACTAATTTTTTTTTTTTATCTAGAGTTTAACAAAAGGTACTATTAATCTTTTTGAGAATAAAAACTGATATATGTATGGAAAATAAATAGTTAGCCATGCAAGCGGCAAATAAAAAAAAAAAAAAAATTAGTTAATTTTTTTTTTTTGCTTCTTTTTGGAAATTTAAAATATATAAATGAATACATTTATTTTTTTTCAAATAATTTTTTTTGGTAGAAATATTAAAAAGAAAGGTTGTTGACTAGAAAGGTTTCTTTTAATATATATTGTTTAAACTTATATGAAAAAATTTTATATTAACGATAATAAAATTTTCATATTTTTTAATATTTATATTATTTAATTGGTATTTCATTAATTAATTATGTTTATTAAAAGCAACGGACTTCAGTAGCCAAACATGATTAATGACGTTATATGTAAAATCAGTTAATTAAAAGTTAATACTGAGCAAGAATGTAAATTTTTAATAAAAATATGGATTTTAATAAAGTACATAAATATCTCTAGTAAACAAAAAATTATTAATGAAGTAGAACACATAAATATGATTTATTAGTTTTTAGCATTAAAACTAAATTTAAATTCATCAAATTAGTATAGAAAACTCTACATACTCTTTATTAATCTGTTTGTTCAATACTGTAGCAATGTTAATGAATAGACATTTAATAAATTAACCAGAAAGTTAATAAAAAAAATATGGAGTCACCAGTACAAATTTTGTTGATTTAAATAATATATCAATACTATATATCAGAAACTGTATTTATGCAATTTACATCATTGAATATTTGTCTACTTTAGTAAAAATAACTATTTTTTTTATTAAAAGCACAAATCTTTATTAATCATTATTTTTTATGTACCATACAGTTAAATACTTTTTCTAACAATTCGTGTTAATAAATTCAAGTTTATTCTTTAAAATAATAAAAGCACATACTTATATTATTACTACAGATAACTAAAATTTAATTCTTAAAAATAGAAAAATTTTTCTAATAAAAATATTAAACAAAAATTTTAAGAATTTTTTTCCATAAAATTCATATCTTTTAAAATTTAAAAAAATAAATAATAATTTAAATTAAGAAATATATAAAATAAATATCAGCTATTTTTCATTTATTTTTTTTTTTTTAAATAGCTTTTACATATGGATAACTGTATATTTTCCATATTGCAAATAATTTTTTCATTATGAAAAATGTTAATAATAACTTTTATTAGCCATAAATATATTATATATTGTTATTGATGTTATTTCTACACTAGTATGAATATATCACTTACATTATTATAATAAGAATTAAACATATATTATTTACTTTTATAGAAATAACTATAATAATACGTATATATAAATTACCATTTATATAAATGATTTAATTTTTGTAAATAGGTGTATTATTGACTACTTTATATAACTATTTATTTATTAATATTACAACTCCCAAATGAGAGATATAAATAATTTCTTTTCCTTATGAATATTATCTTACTTCTTTATTAACTGGATGTTTGGTGACTTTGCTAGAGTACTGAACAAACAAATTAATAAAGAGCATGTGGAGTTGCCTCTACGATTTTGGTGTATTTATTTATATTTTTATATGCTTTGAACGAGTGATTCTTAATTATGTGCTCTACTTCGTTCGGCATTCTTTGATTTCAATAGGAATTTATTTACTTTAATAAAAATCCTTATTTTTATTAAAAATTTAAATCCTTATTGAATAATGATTATTATTTAATTGTAATTTATTTATTTCTTTGTTATGAGTTATGTTCAGCAATTTAAATATACTGCTGTTGAATTAACAAATATAAACAATTAGTAAAAATGCAAATTAATTATATGAATATTAATTACGTGAAAATTTTATTGTCATATGTATAAAATTTTCTCTCACAAATTAAAAAAATATAAATATTATGCAAATTAAATTCTTTTGCGTAAACATTATTATCTGTTTAAGACCTCATTTTATTGGTACTAAATTTTACTTTCGATTTTTATTTAACCAATCTTTTTTCTCCCCAATTAAATTATTTAAAAAAAATAAATATATTTATTTTTTACATATTTCCATTTATTAAAAGAAAAAAAATCGAAAAAAAATTCAATAATTTTTTTTTTTTTTTTTCCCCGCGTTTGCACAACCAACTATTTTTCATATAGCTAGTCCTTTTTATTAACAAAAAGGTTAATGAAACCTTTTATTAACCACTTACTTATAATTATAGCAATTTTTACATTTCTTGGTATGTTATTTGGATAATTTAAATTTTTATATATCCAGTATATATATATTTAAAAGATTCTAGCACAATATAGCAACCTGTATAAATGTAAAATACCTATATATTTTACCTAATTTAGTTGCAAAAATTGTACTTATATATTATATTAAAAAAATATAAATGAGAAAAATACACTTTTATTATATTTATGATTATTGTTTAAAGAAAAATTAATGTTAAAATTTAAAAAAAGGTAGTATTTATGTATATACTTTTTTATTTATGATATATAAAGGATTCTTACAAATTAAAATAAAAAAATAAAAATTCTTAATAATATTCTTCATTAATTTTTACAAAGATGTCTTATAGCACTTAAATATTTAAGAAGAAGGTAATATTTTAAAGGGTAAATTGTTGAACTCTTCGCTATTATATAAATGATTTATTAATTACTCATTCATTGACCTTGCTAGTATAGAACAAATAAATTAATAAAAAGCATGTAGAAAAAGCTCCATTTATTTTATATTTATCTGATTATTCACTTTTTTTAATTGTATTAAATGCATGATTTATTATTGTTGTTAATCTACACTATATCTTATATATATTACATTTTATATTACATTCTTAATTTTCAAAAAAAAAAATATTTTTTTTTAACATGTCATATTTCTTTTTAAAAAAAAAAATTATAAAATATATGCACATTATTTTCTAGTGTATTTAATTTTAGTGGAACTATTTTTTTTAAATGTATTTACTTTTAGTGAAAGTATTTTTTTTAATATATGCACTTTGTTTAAGTATTTATGTATATGTATTTTTCCTGTATTTTAATGTAAACAATTTAAAATGTTTTTTTTTTCATTTTATTTATTTAAATATTACTTAAAATAAGTTTATTATACTACTTATAGGCCAATAATTGAGTTACATAAATTTTATAACAAGATAAGGAAATATAAAAAATTTGCAATATAAATATATAAAACTATAATAAAATAAAAAATAAAATAAATACATTATCATGATAATAAGAAGTTATCAATTAAGCATATAAAGGCTAAAAAAAAGGACAAATAAATTTTTTTTTATATTTAATTAGAAGATTATGATAATGTACATGCAAAAGTTAAGTTATAATTCTACTTTATATCTATTTAATGACACATTATATATCCTAATAAAAATGTATACCCTTGTATTTTATAGGAAAAAATACAATTTATTTAATAAATGATATATCATTATAGTTAGTATAATAAATAACATTTTTATTGAATTTAAAATTTGTATTTGTTATTATTACTTACCATAAACGAAAATTAATAAAAATATATTTTTACAATATTTTTCACTAAAAAAGGAATATTCTTCAGACTTTTTAGAATAATTAAGAAAGTAAATTTTCCAAAAAACAAACTTTTTTTTGAAACATGCTTTTTACTGTATATATATGATTAAAAAATAATTTATTTTTTTTTTGAATTGTAATTAATTCATTTAAAGTGCTTTTTATATGATATATTATTGCACTTCCTTTAAAATAGATATGCTTTAATTTTTCTTTTGAATTTATGCATTTCATGAGTTTTTTTTATTTGGTGTGAATTAATTGAAAAAGAAATTTTTTTTAAAAAATAATAATAACAAAAAAAAAAAAAAATATATATACATATATTGTATAAACATTTATTAACAATAAAAATAAAAAAAAAAACATTAAGATAAAAAAAGTACAATGGAAAAATCAAAATAGATACATTTAAAGAAAAAATATACGCAATAAATAATTAGTTTCATATTAAATTGAAAATGATCACAAATATAGTATACTGTATGAAAAATGCATGCATACAAAATTTTTTTTTTTATTATGTTTTCTTTTCTTTATGATGGGGATATAATATCTCTAATATATCTAATTTTATATCTATAAATCATAAATACAAATATAAGATGATTTAAAGTTTAACGTGATTAACGGAAAAAAACTAATAGTTAAAAAAAAAAAAAAATTTTTTAAAATTCATTGTCATTAAGTATATAACTTTTATAATTTTAATTTATTTAAAATTAACAATATATAATTTATATTTTTTTTTATCTATTTTATGGATGAATAAAAATTTGATGAAATATTTTTTAAATAACTTTACATATTTTAATGTTTTTTTTTTAACTTACAAACATATATTTTTATTTATTTTATTGTTAGAAAAATTAGCATTATTAATCTTACATATAGTAAATGTAATATTATGTATAATCATGAAGAAATAGGAATTATATTTCATATAAAAAAATAATTTTATACCTTAAAAACTTAAAAAATTTACAAAGATTATAATATTATCTAAAGTAATATTATAAATCTATAATTTAGGATTACTCAAGATAAAAATAGTTTTGTACCTAGCTTAATAGCTCTAACTTTATTATTATACTATAAAGGTATTAGAATGAAGACATTCACTTTATATTCAAAGATTTTTACGTTTCTTTTTATAATTTGGATATTCCATTGTTTTTACAACGTAAGATAAATTTCATATAAAAAAATATATATGGATATATTTTTTTTTCTAACAATTTTTAAAATTTTATTTAATTTATTACTCTAATAATAGAAAAAAGAGTTTAAACAAATTTTATTTTTTCCCATAGTATGATTACAGTAGGTCTTTGATTGATAAGGATGCATTACAAATGAAAAATTGGTTAAAAAATGAAAGAACATTAGCAGAGGTTGGTATATTGGAAAAAGAACAAAATAATTTGCGTGATATTTATGCTTCTTCTAATGAAACATGTAAAAAGATCAATAAATGTGGAGATCAAATATTAGATGTTAAATCGAATAATAATTCACAAAATTGTGAGTCATATCCACCATGAGTGGCTCATTAATATCGTATAAGTGAAAAAAGAAAAAAATTAATTGATAGATTTTTGAATAATCTTCATTTATATTATGGCAAATTTTTATGTCAATATAAAGAACGAAAAAAAAAATTAAATAAAATAAAAAAAAAATAAAATTAAAAACTAGAAAACTGGTTAAGAGTAAACTTTCTTAACCTTTATTAGAATAAAAATTGATAGCTGAAAAGATAATACATAATTAACCATACACGAGAACTAGTCAAAAAAAGAAAAAAAAAAATTAATATTTTACTTTATATTTTTTTGATCCAAATATAATTTGTTTTCTTTAAAAAACAAAAATAAAATGATTAAGGGAAATAAAATTTTTAGAGAAAGAAATTTTCATGAGAAAATTTTTTAATTTTGAGAGTAAAATTTTCGTTGTTAGTGAATATTAATATAATTTAAATTTTTTTTAATCTTTTAAAAAGTAATCTTGAATAACTGAAATTGTTCATTAAAAGTTATAATTGAATATTTTGAACTTAAAAATTAATGATTAATGAAAATTTATGCCTTTAAAAAAAATATAGGATTTTTATTAAAGCAAATAAATTTTCATTTAGCTATATAATTTACAGTTTACTAATTTATAGCATAAAAATTATATTTAAATTCATTAAATTAATAGAGAATATTCTACATTCTCTTTATTAATTTTTTTATTCATTACTTGATTTATTAATTGATCGTTCAATAACGTTAGTGGTATTGAACAAACAAATTAATAAAAATACAAATCGTTCACTTTTATTAATTAATTTAAAATATTAATTGCATTAGTTAATTATTAATGTTATTAATTTACACCAATTTCCATGTATATCATATTTTTACATTGCATTATTAATCTTCCAAAGAAAAATACCATATATCATAGCCATAAAAAAAAAAAAATATTTTTTTTAAGATGATAATTTATTTTTAAAAAAATAACAATAGGAAAAATCAATACCAAAAAAAAAAAATATTAATTTTTTGTTTAGTAAGAATTGCAATAAAAAAACAAATATAACAAAACATATTTACATTTTTCTTAGTGTATTTCTATTAAAGCGATTATCTTTTTTTCTTTTTTTTGTACATATTTTGTATATTTATTTTTTTCTTAGAGTATGCATTTTCATTGTATTCAACAAGAACGTATGGAAATGATTTTGCTTATTTTATTTATTTAAATATCATTTAAGATATATAGATAATGCTATTTTTACACTATTAGGAGATACTAATTATTAAATAAAATATATTAAAATTTTTTATTCGTGTATTTCTAAATTAGTTTCATTACTAATAATTCTCAGATTTTTTAATAAATAAAAAGAAAGTGATTTAAATAATTTATTGTATCTTTGATTAGGAAAACCGAATACTATTTCGCTGAAGTCTCTTATAATGTTATAGAGTCGCATTAACCCAAATAGATTATAATAATGGTTCCACAAAATTTATTTATTTTACTTCAAAAAAATTAAATGATGCTCAATGGAAATGGAGGACAATAGAAAAAGAACTATTTTTAATATTTTGTGAAACGTTTGATTATTTTATTAATGGATCTATAGTATTTATAAAAGCAAATTGTAAAGGTATAATAAGAGTTAATTCTACTAGTTCTAGGAAATTAGACAATCCGAATTTCGTTCAGTATTTGAACACATTAGAGGAGTTCCAAATAATTTAGATTATTGGATTTCTAGGTCTGTAGATGATCAAAATGATCTTCCTAATTACTTATTATATGATGATAGACTGTTAAAAGAATATGAAAACTTTTATGTATGCCTTCTTGACAGAAAATAGATGATTTTAGTGAGGAGATAAAAATAATGTTCCTAGAAATTTTGTAGAGAGAAATAACTTTTTTATTCATTATAAGAAAGCATTATTATATATATGATTTATTAATTGTCTCTTCAATGACTTTACTAATTTGTTAATAAAAGGCATTATTAAACTTTTTGGAAAATAATTGACTAGTTATATGAAGAACACGTTTTGGTCATGCGCACACGCAAAAAAAAAAAAAATTTATCATTTTTTTTTTTTTTTGTTTGTATTTTTATAAAAAAAAACAAAGACCGTCAGGAAAAAAAAAAATCAATTGGAAAAAGATTTTTTACCAACAAGAATGATATATAAAAAAAAAAAAACAAAAAAAGAAAGAGATTTTTTCTTTCAAAGAAGTAGGATTTAATTAATTTTGTATGAGAAAATTTTTCACGTATAATAATAAAATGTTTACGTAATTAATATTCTTATAATTAATTTGTATTTTAATTAATTGTTTGTGTTTGTTAATTCAACAGCAATATATTTAAATTGCTGAACATAACTCATAACAAAGAATCAAGCAATTTACATTTAATTAATAATCAATATTCAATAAGGATTTAAATTTTTAATAAAAATGAGTATTTTTATTAAAATAAATAAATGCCTATTGAAATCAAAGAATGCTGAACGAAGTAGAGAACATAATTAAGAATCACTCGATCAAAGTTTATAAATGTATATATAAATACATAAAAATCGTAGAGGCAATTCTACACGCTCTTTTTTAATTTGTTTGTTCAGTACTCTAACAAAGTCACCGAACACCCAGTTAATAAATCACTAATATATTGGAAATACTAATTAATAAAGAGCATATAATACTTCTCTTACAGCTTACATTTAATATAGAGATACATCTGAGTACAAATGTTTATTTATTTTAAACATTGTTTGAATTCAATTTGTTTACAATATCTTAAAATATACTATACAATAATTTAATAAAAAAAGTAAAAATAAATCCTTTTGTTTTTTTTTTGAAACATTGAAATTCAATTTAATTTACTCAAAATTAATTCACTAGAGATAACTAATTTACATAATAAAATCTAAATATATTTCACAATAAAAATATATTTTAAAAAACAAAAATATTTTACTAACAATATATTTTTCTATTAATCTACAACAAACAAAAAAAATATAAAAAAAAATTTAAAAACAAAATTTAACATAAAAAAAAAATTAAAAATAGCTTTATTTTATTTTTGAGCTTGTGAATATGTATGGCTCATTTTATTTTCTCCATAGATCTATTAACGATTATCCTAAAAAGAATAATCTAATATTTACTTGCTTAAGGATTTTTGCAGTATTATGATTTATTAGCATGATCCTTAAAGATTTGACTACAATACTGAAAAAAAAAAATTAATAAAAAGAATGTATAAATTCTGCTAATTGTTGTAAAAATTACATTGATAATACAAACTAGTAAACTAATGGTTAATAAAAGGCTTCATTAACCTTTTTGGCTATAAAAAGGACTAGATATGTGGAGAATACGTAGTTAGTTGTGCTAACTAAAAAAAAAAAAAAAAAAAGAAAAAATGATTGGAATTTTTTTTTGAGAAATGTTTCTTTTGAAAAAGATAAAGATAAAGTTAAAAAAAAAAAAAAAAAAAAAAAGGATTTAATTTATTTTTTTTTGGAAGAGAGATTTTGAATTGAGAGAGAAATTTTTTTTACAAATGATAAGAATATTTTTGTAAAGAGTTTAATTTGCATAATATTTACATTTTGAATTTATGAAAGAAAATTGTATACATATGATATAAAATTTTCACGTAATTAATATTCATATAATTCATTTGCATTTTTACTAATTGTTTATGTTTGCTAATTCAAGAGCAATATACATAAATTGCTGAATGTAACTCACAACAAGGAAATAATTAATTTACATTTAATTAATAGTCAATATTCAATAAGGATATAAATTTTTAATAAAAATAAGGATTTTTTTTTAAAGTAAATAAATGCCCAATGAAAGTAAAGAATGCTGAACGAAGTAGAGCACATAATAAAGAATTACTTGTTCAAAGCATATAAAAATATATATAAATACAACGAAATCGTAGAGGAAACACTACATGCTCTTTATTAATTGGTTTTTTCAATACTATAGTAAAGTCACCGAACACCCAGTTAATAAAACAACTATGTAACTTATAATTTTTATAATTTATTGATTTTAGGAGAATTTATTTACTTTAAGAAATATCACTTTATTTTTATTGAAAATATAAATCTTTGTTATTGATTTTGTGTAAAAATCTTATTTTTTTTTTTAAACTGAAGAATATTTATTACTTGTTTTATATACTTCCATAAAGCTACTATATATTATTACAAAAATGTTAATAATACATTTTATTAACCAAATAATTAACAATCAAATCAATAGTATGTAGACTATTCTCTACAAAATTTAATAGTTTTGAAAGTATTTTTTTATCGATAATATGTAATTTTTATATAATTATATTAAATAACATGAAATACATAGCTTATATTTTATGAACTATCTTCTATATAAAATATAAGTCTTAATATATTATTTATTCCTACTACATCAGTTAATTTAAAAAACATTTAAATAAGTTAATTAAATATAACTTATTTAGGAATCTAAACATTAATCATAGATCATCGAATGTATGTGAAATAATTTTATTACTATAGAGACCTTCTATAAACGTTATTTAAAAATCCTTTTAATAAATTCTAATTTTTTATTCAAAAAATAATAAATTCATTCTAAAATTTTTTTGCATGAAAACAAATATTTAGCTATTATTTTTTTTTAATTACATATGTGAAAATTTTCTTAAAATGTCAAACATTTATATCTATCTTTTTATTTTATTTATACTTTACTAATATTGAAAAAATTATAATGATATCCTTTATTAACCTAAGAAAATGTAAAAATTGGGGTATTGATTTGTTAATTATTTGTTCAAAAACTTTTGTATAATATTGGTCAATAAACGATATAATTAAAATTTTATGAAATTAGAGATAATAAATTGAATGGAAAATAACATATTTGTTGTTTAAGCGTGCCATTTAATTATGTTGATAACTAAAAAAAGAAAAATGAATATTTTGGTTCTTTATGTTGTATATAAAATTTGCTAATTATGATTATTTTATTTTAATATAATAAAAAAAAATTATTTTTATTTAAGTTATGAATTTTTATTCATTTAGAAGTTAAATTTAATTATTAAAACTAATTTTTGAAACCACTAAAAATTTAATTAAAAGTTTAAAAGAAAACAAAAATGATTTAATTTTTATTAACACTTAAAGGTAGTGTATTTTTATAATATTGCTAATTAATTCGAATTTATTTATTTTAAAATATTATTTTGAATATAATTAATAGCTTTATTGCTAATTTAAGCTTTTAGTATAAATAAAAATAACTTTATATTAATTAAATAAGCGCCTCTAAAACAATAAATATTCTTTTATATAAATTATATATATAAAATTTACTTTATTATAATAGAAATATATATTTACAACAGGTAAAACTAGTAGAGACTACTGTACATATTCTTCATTCGTTCATTCAATATATCAGTATATTAATATTAGTGTAATATGTTGTATAAACTATATTATATGTCATTTATTAATCCGTTCAACAATTTCGACATATCATTGAATGAACATAATAATAAAGAACATATATGGTGGTTCTTACTAGTTTTAATTGTTATAAAAATATATTTATATTATAATAAATTAAATATTAGACATAGAGTTTAAATAATACAATATTTACTGTTTTAGAGACTTTTACTTAATTAATACAAGGTTATTTTTATAAAAAGCTTAAATTGTCATTAAATCTATTAATTATACTCAAAATAATACTTTAAAATAAATAAAATTAAAGTTATAAACAACTTTTCAAAAATATATTAAATTTAAATATTAATAAAAACTAAATACTTTTTGTTTTCTTTTAAGTTTAGAACTTAATTTTTGATGGTTTCTAAAATTGACTCGATTATAAAATTTAACCCCTATACAATAAAACGTATTATTTAAAAATCTAAAAAAAAAAAAAAAATTAAAGAAAATATAAATTAAAAAAAAATTACAGGATGTGAAAAAATTTTTTTTTTCAGTTATCTATTTTTTTAAATGTCAATTATAAGGAATAACTTATTTCCTCATAATTTACTATTAAATCATAAAAGGTTTATATCATTTATTAACCAGATAGTTATTTTAACATACATATATATTAGAATATTTTACATGCACATAAATCTCATTTTTGCATTTTTATTCATCCTATTATAAATTCAAATAGCTCAATAATATTCTTTATTAGTCAAATGCCAAGATTAAGATTTAATCATATATAACTTGGATTTAACCTCTTTTTCACAATAACCTCAACACGAATTACATTATAAATAAATAAATTTTATATTGTCATTCAATTTTCTTTTTGTACTTTTTATATCTCTCTTGCCGATTTTTTTTAGGAAGAATTATTTTTTGTGAATAATATTCTATTATGTTTTCGTTTTTTCTCTTTTATTTAATGCTAATATTTAACTTATAAATTCTTTAAATAATTATAAAAATGAATCAAATATTTTTTCAATATTATCATTATTATGTAAATTCAAACTTAATTTAAGTATATTTCATTTATAACAATAAATATATATATGTACGCATTTTTTTATTTTATTCTTTTATTTTTTATTTTTTATTTTTCATTTATATATTGTCATTTGCTTATAAAAAGACTATTGCATGTGAAATTTTATTTTATTTCTACTTATTTTATTTGAACATTAGCTGTTATATTATATTAATATATTATGGTTAATTATCTATTAACATTGAAACTGTTATAAATTTTATTATATATACTTTTAACATAATATTATATAATTGTAATTTTAATTATACTGCAAATACTATAATGTTATACCATTTTTATTTATATTTCTTAGATAATTAAGAAAACATTTTATTATATATATTTAAAATTATTTTTTATTTTTTTAAAAAAAATAAATTATTATTGGAAAAACCTTTGAATAAATGTAACTATTATTTTATATTAAAATTACGATAAGAAAAATTTTAAAATTTTTTGTTTATTTTATGTTCTATAGAAAAAAATTTCGAACAATAATTTGTATTAAAAATGTATATCCCATAAATGTTAGATTTTATAAAAACATATCTTTTAAAGAAAATAAATATACATAAACATTAATATTTAAATAAGAGATTAAGAGAGTTTTGAATTTTAGTAAATAATATATATTGTACTAGAAACTATACTTTTTATAAGAAGTAAAATAAAATTTATAAGGAAATGGAATATTAAAAGAAAAAAAATAATTCTACAAAAGTTATTAAGGAAAAATTCACAAAAAACCTTAGTAAAAAGTAATAAAAATATATATGCCTTATTTTAAATTTAAAAATGGCATTGTTATATAATGAAGGATGTGAATATTCTGAAGGAGATCTCACCAAATGTAATATGAATATATGTCATATAAGTCAAAATAAATTTGTAACATCATTATGTAAAATTCACTCACCAGTAGTTGATATAAAGAAACCTTCAAATAATAATTTAAATGATCTTTCAAAAAATGTATTTACACACGAATATAATCCATCAAATTTTCATTCTAGGATAACTATTCTTTCAAATAATGATCGAGATGGAATTTTGCTCCTGTATGAATATAATCCATATCATAATAAATATCCAGAAAAAACATATTTATGCCGCCTTAGAAATATAAAACAAAAGTTAACATTATGCGAATACATTAATATGGAATATATAGGAAGAAGTCTTACGTTTGACTCTTATGACATTATTAATGAAGAAAGTAAAAATAATAATATGATTAGTTTAAAAAACCCCAATCATAAAATTATTAAATCAAAATATGATAAGCTTATATTTAAAGAACATTTCTGCCATCATATGAAAACGAAATACATTTCATATTGTAATAAAAGGAATACCATATGTAAAAAAATTAATAATGATCAATTGCATTGTACCGATGCGAATTATAGTGGACATTTAATTAAGTTAGATCATATTGAGTATTATGTTTTAAAAAGAAAACATATATATCTTCCCAGTGGTTGCTTAAAAGAAAATTTAAATCCTGTATGCACTCCGCATATATGCATAAGCCATGCTATTAATGAATTTTTTGAATGTGAATATCAAGAAATCAGTGTTATAAAAAACATAAGGCCAATAAAAAAAATAATGCCAATAAAAGAGATAAGACCAATAAAAAACATAAGGACAAATTCAAACAATTTAGCCATGACATCATTAAAGCATGAAGATATTTATCATAAAAATAGTTTTTATAATACTGCACTCTTTGCAATGTCTTTTATGTCTTTTCTAGTTCTATTTACTTTTTTTTTTTGCCTTTTATATAGGACTTTTAGAAAAAAGAGAAGTAGGTTATTTATAAAACATTTTAGTATATTAATGCTTATAAATATATACATTATATTTTTCAATTTTTTAATATATAAAAAATGAAAAGGTAAATAAAAATGATCGTGAATTAAATTAACAAAATTTTATATTTTTTCTTTTTTTTGTAGGAAAAATAAATTAAGATAAAAAAGGAAAATTATTACTTTTACTAAAAATATAAAGTATTCTTACAAAAGAAATACAAAATTAATAATAGGGAATTTATATTTTATATTTCATATATTTATTAGAATCCAGAGGAAAAATTTTTATTACAATAAATAAATTTTCTTCAAAAAATTTTAATATCTAGGTATGTATATACGATATACAAAATTGAACTAAAAATTCTCTTATGCTTAAATTTCTCAATTTCTACATAGTTTCTTTTTATATAAATGGGTTTAAATTTTCTATGTGTTGATTTATTAATTTTACGTTAAAATATTTTGTTAGAGTAATGAACATATGAATTAATAAAGAAGAATTAAAATAATTTCTATTTTTGTCTTTTGAGAAAAATATCTTGTCATAAATAAGTGAAAATTACATGATTGAGTATTAAAAGGAATTATTAATCTTTTTGTTAATAAAAAGTAATAGTTGTATGGAAAATCAATAGTTATCTATGTAAACACTAAATAAAAAAAAAGAAAAATTGCTAATTTTTTTTCTTCTTCTTTTTAAAAATTAAAAATATACAAAAAATTTTATTTTTGTCAAGAGATTAAATAGTTGAAAAATTAAAAGAAGATTATTGACTAAAAAATTTTTTCATAATATATTTTATTTAAATTTATATAAGAAAATTTTATATAAACGATGATAAATTTTTGTATTTTGTAGTATTGATATAATTTATTTTTTATTTTTTTTTAATTATATATGTTTGTTAATTTAGTAGAAATATATTTGAATTGCTAAGTATTACTTAAAACATTATAAAGCAAATATAATTAAAATTGATAATTAAAGATGATTTAAATTTTTAATAGAAATATAGTATTTTTATCAAAGTAAATAAATGTCTCTTAAAAACAATAAAAACTCAACAAAGTAAAGTAAATATATACATTTTACTGGTTTATAACATTAAAATTATACTTAAATTCATTGAATTAGTAGGGGTAACTCTACTTAATTTTTATTAATATGTTTGTCCAATACTTTGGAAAAGTTATTGAATACACAATCAATAAATTAGTAATACAATATAAAATATTAAATATATAGTTTATTTTATATGATATTCATAATACTCTAACCAAAAATATATCAACTTAATGTTTTTATTACTATTTACTGGGTAATAAAAACCATATTAACTTATTTTTATATTACATGTGCATTAATAAAACACTAGACTTCTTTATATAGAAAAAGGTCGTAAGATAAAATTATTAACATGAATTGCAACAGTCAATTCAAAATACTTTAGAACTTTTATTAAAAATAATTATATTAACCGGTTTTTCTTTAGTAGTTATGCAGTGGTGATTTATTAACTGGGTGTTCGGAGACTTTGCTAGAGTACTGAACAAACCAATTAATAAAGAGCATGTAGAGATGACTCTACGATTTTCTTATACTTATGTATATTTTTATATGCTTTGAACGAATGATCTTTAATCATAAACTACTCCGTTCAGCATTCTTTTGCTTCGATAAGTATTTATTTACTTTAATAAATAAATCCTTATTTTATTAAAAATTTAAACACTTATTTAACATTAACTATTAATTGATTATAATTATTAGTTTATTCATTATGAGTTATATTCAGCAATCATTTTATATTGCAATCGAATTAACAAAACACAAATACTTATTAAAAATGCAAATAAATTATATGCATATTAATTACATGAAAATTTTACTTCATATGTATTAAATTTTCTCTCACAAATTCAAAAGATAAATATTATGAAATTAAACGCTTTACAAAAATATCATTATCTTCTTGTAAAAAAAATCTCTCTCTCTCTGATTTTTCTTCTCTTTTCAAAAATAAAAAATTAAATCTTTTTATTATTTTTTTTTTTTTTTATCTTTATCTTTTTCGAAAGAAACATTTCTCAAAAAAAAAAATCCAATAATTTTTTTTTTTTTTTTTTTTTTTTTTTTTTAGTTAGCACAACTAACTATGTATTCTCCACATAGCTAGTCTTTTTATAGCCAAAAAGTTTAATGAAGCTTTTTATTAACCAAGTGGTTAATAAAAGATTTTATTAACCTCTTATGGAATATTAAGACATTTAATGTAGAATAAGTTATATATTTCAGAAAATTTCTGATAAAAAAAAAAAAAAGAAAAAAAATTGTTTTTTTTAGTTATTGAAGGGATTTTTATTTATTTAAATATTAAATTTTGTCAGTTGAATTGATCTTAGAATAATTAAAAATTAAATTCACATTTTAAAGAAATATAAGAAATATATTACTTTTATTAATATTTAAATTTCATGTATTTTTAAAAGAATTTTAATAACTTTAATTAAGATTATTATTTCTCTTTAAAAGATTTCTTTTACAGGTGATCGACAATTTTAATGATGATTAAAGTTTTTAATGAAAATATTGATAAATTTTCATTTTAATAAGTAAATACTTCTGAAACATTAAACGCTTAGATATTTGTTAATAAAAAACACTAATAAGTTTATATGAAACAATAGAATCTTATAGAGAAAATAGAAAGCCATGCACATTCCTTAAATAAAAAAAAAAAAGGGTTATTAATTTTTTTTATTTTATTTATTTTTTTCTATGACTATAAATGCTTTGCTGAATTTTATCAGTTGATCTAATATTTAAGATGATAAAAAATAAATTTAAACTTTAAAAAGAAAAAGAAGAAGAAAAAGGCTTTATTTTTATTATTATTATTTAATTTTTATATATTTTTAAAAAACAGTAACTTTAATTTTATTAATTTATTTTAAAAGAATATTTTATACACAATGAATAATTTTAAAGAAGATTTATATTTTAAATATGAATAAGACAATTTTTATTAAATTAATATAATCCTCAAAAAATCATAAATGCTCATTTATTGATTTATCAATTGTTAGTTCAATGATTTGAAAGTGTATTGAACAAACAGATTAATAAATGTTATGCATAGCTCTCTTCACTAATTTAATTAATTTAAATTTAATTTTAACTCTGAAAACCAGTAAAATTTATTCATGCAAGCTACTTCATTGAATATTTATTTTTAAGAAATATTTATTTACTTTAACTAAAATCCTATACTTTTGCTAAAAATTTAAATTATCATTAAGTATGATATTTAATTAAACATACCTTATTTATGAAGTTATGAACAATATTTAAAAATTCATGTCTTTCTTTTAATAGAAATGAGTATTATTAAAACAGAAAATTGACTTACTGGTTAATAAAAGGCATTATTAACCTTTTTGGAAATAAAAAGGACTATCTATATGAAGAATATGTAGTTGGTCATGCACACGCAAATAAAAAAAAAAATAATGATCAATTTTTTTTGCTTTTCTTTTTATAAATAAAGATATGTAAAAAAAAAAATATATATATATATATTTATTTTTAGGAAAAATATAAAAGAATGTGAGGAATAAGTTTAGAAAATTGGTTACAAATAAAATTTTCGGAAAAAAATTTGTTACCAATAAGGAGATATTAAACATACAAAAGAATTTACTTTATGTAGTATTTATATTTTTAATTGTAAGAGAAAATTTTATACATATAATAATAAAATTTTCACGTAATTAATATTTATATTATTAATTTCTATTGTCACTAATTGTTTATGTTTGTTAATTCAACAGCAATATATATTAATTGCTGAATGTAATTCATAACAATGAAACAAGTAATATACATTTAATTAATGACCAATATTCAAAAGTATATAAATTTTTAATAAAAATAAAGATTTTTATTAAAATAAATAAATTCCTATTGAAATTAAAGAATGCTGAACGAAGTATATCACATAATTAAGAATCACTCGTTCAAAGGATTTAAATATATATATAAATACATAAAAACCGTGGAGGTAACTCTACATGCTCTTTATTAATTTGTTTGTTCAGTACTATAGTAAAGTCACCGAACACCAAGTAATAAAACTATGTAACTTATAATTTTTATAATTTATTGATTTTAGGAGAATTTATTTACTTTAATAAATATCACTTTATTTTTATTGAAAATATAAATCTTTGTTATTGATTTTGTGTAAAAATCTTATTTTTTTTTTTTAAACTGAAGAATATTTATTACTTGTTTTATATACTTCCATAAAGCTACTATATGTTATTACAAAAATGTTAATAATACATTTTATTAACCAAATAATTAACAAACAAATCAATAGTACATAGACTATGCTCTACAAAATTTAATAGTTGTGAAAGTATTTTTTTATCAATAATATATAATTTTTATATAATTAAATTAAATATATAGCTTATATTTTATGGCCTATCTTCTAAATAAAATATAAGGCTTAATATATTTATTCCTATTACATCGGTTAATTTAAAAAATATTTAAATAAGTTAATTAAATATAACTTATTTAAGAATCTAAACATTAAACATAGATCATTGATTGTATGTGAAATAATTTTATTACTATAGAGACCTTCTATAAACGTTATTTAAAAATCCTCTTAATAAATTCTAATTTTTTATTCAAAAAATAATAAATTCATTGTAAAATTTTTTTTCCATTAAAAAAAATATTTAGCTATTATTTTTTTTTTAATTACTTATGTGAAAAATTTCTTAAAATGTCAAACATTTATATATATCTTTTTATTTTATTTAAATTTTACTAATATTTAAAAAATTTTAATGATATCCTTTATTAACCTAAGAAAATGTAAAAATTGGGGTATTGATTTGTTAATTATTTGTTCAAAAACATTTGTATAATATTGGTCAATAAAAGATATAATTAAAATATTACAAAATGAGAGATAATAAATTGAATGGAAAATAACATATTTGTTATTTAAGCGTGCCAATTAATTAAGTTGATAACTAAAAAAAGAAAAACTAATATTTTGGTTCTTTATGTTGTATATATAATTTGCTAATTAAGATTATTTTATATTAATATAATAAAAAAAATTTTTTTTATTTAAGTTGTTATGAATTTTTATTCATTTAGAAGTTAAATTTATTTAATCAAGCTAATTTTTGGAACCAGCAAAAATTTAATTCAAAGTTTAAAAGAAAATAAAAATTATTTAATTTTTATTAACACTTAAATGTAGTGTATTTTTATAATATTACTAATTAATTCGAATTTATTTATTTTAAAATATTATTTTGAATATAATTAATAGCTTTAATGTTAATTTAAGCTTTTAGTATAAATAAAAATAACTTTATATTAATTAAATAAGCGCCTCTAAAACAATAAATATTCTTTTATGTAAATCATATGTATAAAATTTACTTTATTATAATAGAAATATATATTTACAACAGGTAAAACTAGTAGAGACTACTGTACATATTCTTCATTCGTTCATTCAATATATCAGTATATTAATATTAGTGTAATATGTTGTATAAAGTATATGTCATTTATTAATCCGTTCAATAATTTCGACANAGAACGTATATTTATAAGTTAAAAAAAAAAATTTTAAAATATGTAAGGTTATTTTAAAAATATTTCATTAAAATTATATTTTGGTTCTTTATGTTGTATATATAATTTGCTAATTAAGATTATTTTATATTAATATAATAAAAAAAATTTTTTTTATTTAAGTTGTTATGAATTTTTATTCATTTAGAAGTTAAATTTATTTAATCAAGCTAATTTTTGGAACCAGCAAAAATTTAATTCAAAGTTTAAAAGAAAATAAAAATTATTTAATTTTTATTAACACTTAAATGTAGTGTATTTTTATAATATTACTAATTAATTCGAATTTATTTATTTTAAAATATTATTTTGAATATAATTAATAGCTTTAATGTTAATTTAAGCTTTTAGTATAAATAAAAATAACTTTATATTAATTAAATAAGCGCCTCTAAAACAATAAATATTCTTTTATGTAAATCATATGTATAAAATTTACTTTATTATAATAGAAATATATATTTACAACAGGTAAAACTAGTAGAGACTACTGTACATATTCTTCATTCGTTCATTCAATATATCAGTATATTAATATTAGTGTAATATGTTGTATAAAGTATATGTCATTTATTAATCCGTTCAATAATTTCGACATATCATTGAATGAACATAATAATAAAGAACATATATGGTGGTTCTTACTAGTTTTAATTGTTATAAAAATATATTTATATTATAATAAATTAAATATTAGACAAAGAGTTTAAATAATACAATATTTACTGTTTTAGAGACATTTACTTAATTAATACAAGGTTATTTTTATAAAAAGCTTAAATTGTCATTAAATCTATTAATTATACTCAAAATAATACTTTAAAATAAATAAAATTAAAGTTATAAACAACTTTTAAAAAATATATTAAATTTAAATATTAATAAAAACTAAATACTTTTTGTTTTCTTTTAAGTTTTGAACTTAATTTTTGATGGTTTCTAAAATTGACTCGATTATAAAATTTAACCCCTATACAATAAAACGTATTATTTAAAAATCTAAAACAAAAAAAAAAAAATTAAAGAAAATATAAATGAAAAAAAAATTATAGGATGTGAAAAAATTTTTTTTTTCAGTTATCTATTTTTTTAAATGTCAATTATAACGAATAACTTATTTCCTCATAATTTACTATTAAATCATAAAAGGTTGATATCATCTATTATCCAGGTAGGTATTTTAACATACATATATTTTAGAATATTTTACATGCACACAAAACTCATTTTTGCATTTTTATGCATCGTATTATAAATTCAAATAGCTCAATAATATTCTTTATTAGTTAAATGTCAAGATTAAGATTTAATCATATATAACTTGGATTTAACCTCTTTTTCACAATAGCTTCAACAAAAATTACATTATAAATAAATAAATTTTATATTGTCATTTAATTTTTTTTTTTTGTACTTTTTATATCTCTCTTGCCGATTTTTTTTAGGAAGGATTATTTTATGTGAACAATATTTATTATGTTTTCGTTTTTTTTTTTATTTTATACTAATATTTAACTTATAAATTTCTTATATAATAATAAAAATGATATAAATATTTTTTCACTATTTTCATTTTTATGTAAAATTGAAGTTAATTTAGGCATATTTTATTTATAATTATAAAAATATATATATATATATATATATACTCATTGTTTTATTTTATTCTTTTATTTTTTCTTTATGTATTGTTATTTGTTTATAAAAATACAATGCATGTGAAATTTTATTTTTATTCAATTTATTTTATCTAAACATTGGTTGTTATAACATATTAACATATTATTGTTAATTATCTATTAACATTGAAACTGTTATAAATTTTATAATATATACTTTTAACATAATATTATATAATTGTAATTTTAATTATTTTGCAAACACTAATATTATGCCATTTTTATTTATATTTTTTAGATAATTAAGAGAATATTTTATTATATATATTTAAAATTTTTTTTTATTTTTTTAAAAAAAATAAATTATTATTAGAAAAACCTTTGAATAAATGTAACTATTATTTTATATTAAAATTACGATAAGAAAAAATTTTAAAATTTTTTGTTTATTTTATGTTCTATTGAAAAAAAATCCGAACAATAATTTGTATTAAAAATGTATATCCCATAAATGTTAGATTTTATAAAAACATATCTTTTAGAAAAAAAAAAATATACATAAACACTAATATTTAAATAAGAGATTAAGAGAATTTTGAATTTTAGTAAATATTATATATTGTACTAGAAACTATATTTTTTATAAGAAGTAAAATAAAATTTATAAGGAAATGAAAAATTAAAAAAAAAAAAATAATCCTACAAAAGTTATTAAGGAAAAATTCACAAAAATCTTAGTTAAAAGTAATAAAAATATATATACCTTATATTAATTTAAAAAATGGCATTTTTATATAATGAAGGATGTGAAAATTCTGACGGAAATTCCACCAAATGTATTATGAATATATGTCAAATAAGTCAAAATAAATTTGAAACATCATATTGTAGAATTCATCCACTAATAGTTTATATACAGAAACATTTAAATAGTGATTTAAATGATCCTTCAAGAAATGTATTTACATACGAATATTATCCACCAACTATTAAATCTAGGATAACTGTTCTTTCAAATAATGATCAAGATGGAATTTTGCTCCTGTATGAATATAATCCATATCATAATAAATATCCAGAAAAAACATATTTATGCCGCCTTAGACATATAAAACAAAAGATAACATTATGCGAATCCGTTAATGTAGGATATTTGGGAAGAACTCTTACATTTGACTCTTTTGACATTATTAATGAAGAAAATACAAATAAGAATATAATTAGTTTAAAAAACCCGAATCATAAAATTATTAAATCAAAATATGATAAGTTATTATTTAAAGAACTACCCAACCAATTTATAAAAACAAAATACATTTCACATTATAATAGGAGGAGTACCTTATGTAAAAAAATTGATAATGATTATATGGAATGTAGCGATGCAAATTACAGCGGACGTTTAATTTTGTTGGATGATAATGGATATTATGATTTAAATAGAAAATATTTATATCTTCCCAATAATTGCTTTGAAGAAAATTTAAATTCTTCATGTTCTCCATATATATGCGATAACCAGGTTACAAAGGAGTTTGTTCCATGTGTATATGAAGAAATCTGTGTTGTAAAAAACATTAGGACAATAAAAAACATAAGTCCAATAAAAAAGGTAATGCCAATAAAAAGCATAATACCAATAGAAAACACAACTCCAATAAAAAATTTAATGCCAAATTCAGAAAATATAGCAGCGATATCAGTAAAGTCTCAGGATATTTCTCATGAAAACGGTTTTAATAGAAATGCACTCTTTGCAATGTCTTTTATGTCTTTTCTAGTTCTATTCACTTTTTTTTTTTGCCTTATATATACGATTTTTAGAAAAAAGAGAAGTAGGTTTTTTATAAAATATTTTAGTATATTAATGCTTATAAATATATACATTATATTTGTCAATTTTTTAATATATAAAAAATGAAAAGGTAAATAAAAATGAGCGTGAATTAAATTAACAAAATTTTATATTTTTTCTTTTTTTTGTAGGAAAAATAAATTAATGATAAAAAAGGAAAATTATTACTTTTACTAAAAATATAAAGCATTCTTACAAAAGAAATACAAAATTAATAATAGGGAATTTATATTTTATATTTCATATATTTATTAGAATCAACAGGAAAATTTTTTATTACAATAAATAAATTATAAATCTTCAAAAATTTTCATATCTAGGTATGTATATACGATATACAAAATTGAACTGAAAATTTTTTTATGCTTAAATTTCTCAATTGCTATATTCTTTCTTTTTATATAAATGGGTTTAAATTTTCTATATGTTGATTTATTAATTTTATATTAAAATATTTTGTTAGAGTAATGAACATATGAATTAATAAAGAAGAATTAAAATAATTTCTATTTTTGTCATTTCAGAAAAATATCTTGTCATAAATAAGTGAACATTACATGATTTAGTATTAAAAGGAATTATTAATCTTTTTGAGAAAATAAAGTAATAGTTGTATGGAAAATTAATGGTTAGTTGTGTAACAACTAGATAAAAAAAAAGAAAAATTGTTAATTTTTTTTTGTAAATTAAAAATACACAAAAAAGTTTATTTTTTGTGAAAAGATTAAATAGTTGAAAAATTAAAAAGAAGATTATTCACTAAAAAATTTTTTTGTAATATATTTTATTTAAATTTATGTAAGAAAATTTTATATAAACGATAATAAATTTTTATGTATGGTAGTATTAATATAATTTATTTTTTATTTTGTTAATTTAGTAGAAATGTATTTGAATTGCTAAGTATTACTTATAACATTATAAATCAAATATAATTAATATTGACAATTGAAGAGGATTTAAATTTTTAATAGAAATATAGTATTTTTATTAAAGTAAATAAATGCCCTTAAAGGAAATAAGCACTCTATAAAGTACAGTAAATATATGTATATTGCTGGTTTATAAAATTAAAATTATACTTAAATTCACTAAATTAGTAGAGGAGACTCTATGTACTTTTTATTAATATGTTTGTTCAATACTTTGGAAAAGTTATTGAATACACAATCAATAAATTAGTAATACAATATAAAATATTAAATATATAGTTTATTTTATATGATATTCATAATACTTTAAACAAAAATATATCAACTTAATGTTTTTATTAATATTTACTGGGTAATAAAAACTATATTAACTTATTTTTATATCACACATGCATTAATAAAACACTGGATTTTTGATATAGAAAAAGATTGAAAGATAAAATTCTTTAGTAACATGATTTGCAGCAATCAATTCAAAACACTTCAGAACTTTCATTAACAATAATTATATTAACCTATTTTCGTAGTAATTACATAGTGGTTAAAAGATATTATTAACCTCTTAATTTCTCATAAAAAAAAAAAGAATTTTATTTTTATTGTTAATTATCTTTATTAATTGTTTTTTACTTAATTTTAATTAAGAAAAAAAAAAAAAAATTGTTTTTTTGAGTTGTTAAAAGAACTCTTATTTATTTAGATATTAAACTTTGTTAGTTGAATTGATCTTAGAATAATTAAAAATTAAATTCACATTTTAAAGAAATGCTAAAAATATTTTATTTTTTTTAATAATTAATTTTTATGTATTTTTAAAAAACTTTTAATAACTTTTAATTAATTATTATTTCACTTTAAAAGATTTCTTTTACAAGTGATCAACAATTTTAATGAAGATTTAATTTTTAATGAAAATATGAATAAATATTCATTAAAGTAAACACTTCTGAAACAATAAACGCCTAGCTTTTTGTTAATAAAATATTAATAAGCTTATATGAAGCAACAAAAACTTATAGAGAAAGTAGAAATCCATACACATTCATTAAATAAAAAATAAAAGGTTAACGATTTTTATTATTTCATATATTTTTTTCTATAAGGATAAATGTTTTGTTAAATTTTATAAATTGATCTAATTTTTAAGCGAAAAAAACATAAATTTAAACATTAAAAAGAAAAAGAAGAAGAAAAAGGCTTTTTTATATTATTATTATTTAATTTTTATATATTTTTAAAAAGCAGTAACTTTAATTTTAATTTAGTTAATTTATTTTAAAGGAATATTTCACATACAATGAATAATTTTAAAGAAGATTTAGATTTTTAGTAAGATTAAGGATAGTTCTTATTAAATTAATAAATTCCTCTAAAAATCATAAATTCTCAGTTATCGATTTATCAATTGCTAGTTGAATGATTTGTCAGAGTATTGAACAAACAGATTAATAAAGTTTTTGTATAGTTCCCTTCATCAATTTAATTAATTTAAATTTAATTTTAATTCTGTAAACCACTAAAATTTATTTATGCAATCTACTACAATGAATATTTATTTTTAAGAAATATTTATTTACGTTAACGAAAATCCTATATTTTTACTAATAATTAAAATTCTCATTAATTATCAATATTTAATTTAACATGCCTTATTTATGATGTTATGTACAATGTTTAGAAATTCATGTCTTTATTTTAATATAAATGAGTAATTATAAAAAAACAAAATTAACTTACATAAATATAATAAACATAAAAAATTAATTAGTGTAAGTATAACATTTTCTTTTTAAAATAATAATCAAAATCAATTCTTAAAAAAATATATGCATTGCAAAAATTAAAATTTAATAAACTAAAATTATTCAATAATCCTCAAAACTAATTATTTATCCTTCAAAAAAAAAAATTTATAAAAAAAAAATTGACTAAATTTTTTTTTTTTTATCCAGTGCTTGCATGGATAATTATTATTCTAAAAAGGGTTAATATTATCTTTTATTAACAAATTATATAATCTATATATATATAACTTAATTATAGAATATATATTTTCTTAAAACAGTTAAAATTAATAAAATCCATTATACATTGTTTTTATTATTTTGTATGTTTAATACTTGATTTATTATTTTTATATTTCATATTGAATGACTTTGTGGTTAATTAATTGACTTTTCGATAGCTTTGCTAGAGTGCTAAACAAATAAATTATTAAAGTGCATGTAGAATTGCTTCTAAGGATTTAATGAATTTAAGTATAATTTTAATGTTGTAAACCAGTAAAGCGTATTATATATAATCTACTTCATTGATCATTATTAGCTTTTAAGGGGTACTTATATAATTTAAAAAGAATTGTATTATTCTTATCAAAGACATAAAACCTCATTAATTATTTATTTGTACTTACATATATTTTTAATTATAAAGTTACAAATAATGTTTAACACTTAATTGCACTGTATTAAAATTAACAAACGTACACAATTAATAAAATACAAATTAAAATTATATAAATAGAAAACACATGATAATTTTGTTATTCTTCTTTTCTTAAATTATTTCTTTAAAATTCATAATATAAATTCCATACAAAAGAAACTGTTTCGTCAAAAAAAAAAAATACTTATATTTTTTTTTTATTATTTTTCTTTTTTTCTTTTCAACCTTTTTTTTTTTTTTAATCTAACACTTGTATGGCTATTTATTTTCCATGCAGCTATAACATTCTATTCTCGAAAAGGTTAATATTTCTTTTTATTAATTATTCTACTATTATACTGAACAAATTAATAAAGAGCATGTAGAGTTAACTCTATGATTAATAAAAGGCTTTATTAACCTTTTTGGAAAATAAAAGGACTAGTTAAATGACGAATACGTAGTTGGTCATGCACACATAAAAAGAAAAAAAAGAAAATGATAAATTTTTTTTGTTTGTATTTTTATAAAAAAAAAATACAAAGACCGTCAGGAAAAAAAAAATTTATAAAAAAAAAAAAAAAAAATCCATTGGAAAAAGATTTGTTACCAATAAATAAAAAAAAAATATTTATTTTTTTTTTTGGAATGAAAGATGATTTTAAGGAATTTTGTAAGAGAAAATTTTATACATATAACAATATAATTTTCATATAATTAATATTTATATAATTCTTTTTGTATTGTCACTAATTGTTTATGTTTGCTAATTCAACAGCAATATATATTAATTACTGAACATAACTCATAACAAAGAAACAAGTAGTTTACATTTAATTAATAATCAATGTTCAATAAGGATTTAAATTTTTAATAAAAATAAGGATTTTTATTAGAGTAAATAAATGCCTATTGAAATAAAAAAAATGATGAATGAAGTAGATTACATAATTAAGGATCACTTGTTCAAAGCATTTAAAATATATATAAATACATCAAAACCATAGAGGCAACTCTATATGCTCTTTATTAATTTGTTTGTTAACTACTCTAGCAAAGTCACCGAACATCCACTTAATAAATCAAGTATACATCATTGAGAATTTATTGTTTTTAAGAGGAATTTATTTATTTTAATAAAAATCACCATTTTTATTAAAAATTTAAGTTATCATTGATTATTGATTTTCAATTATAATTATTTTACTTTAATGTTATGAATAATTTTTAGTAATTTAAATTCATTGCTATTAAATTAACAAACATAAGTTATTAACAAATTAAATTATACGAAACTACAAAACATGAAAATTTTATTATTGTTAATAGTAAAATATCTCGCATAAATTAAAAAAAAAATTCATTACAAAGAAACATTTAAAGCAACATTTCTTTTTATTTTGAGATTATTATATCATTTAAAAAAAAAAAATTAATATATTTTTTTTGTGCATTTAAAATTTACAAAAAGAAGACAAAAAAAATTAGATAATTTTTTTTTTTACCTTAGGCTTGCATGGCTATTTTTTTATTTTCCATACAGATATTACTCATTATAAACCAGCAACCTAACATTTAATGAAATTCTAATTATCATTTTGAACATTAATATAAATGAAAAAAAAAAAAAATTTCATAATATTTTATAACTATTTTATTGTAATACATAGTTTTTTTAATGAACGTAAAAATTTATATAATAATATTCTCTACATAAATAAATGCACAAAAAAAAAGGTAAGAAATAAAATAATATGCATTAATGAATTATTATATTAGTTAATATCCCCTTTTAAAGTGATAAGAGAAATTAATCTTAGAACCTCTATAAAAGCTAGCATAAAATTGTCATAATTATTAATTAAATTATGGTATGTATGTCTGCATATTACTCAATGTAAAAGCAAAATATTTTAAAAAAACATTATGGTTTAAATTTACTTCTCTAGGACCTTAATCACATTAATTCATTATGAACTTTTCATTACTTAATTATTTTATTATATAAAAATTAAATATGATTGATTACCCATTAAATAAAAATGTATGACAAGAAAAAATTTAATTTTAAAGTTCTAGATAGAAATGTTTTTAGATAACTCTTTATTTATCCTTTCAATAAAAATTTAAGTGTTGAAAAAGATAAATAGAACATTTCGTTAAACATTTGTAAAATGATTATAAGTATAAGAAATATTTTTATTGTATGAATAATGATATACATATAAAATAAATTATATATTTATTAGCTATAATAATAGCTATTACCCTTTAAGAAATAGTGCATATAAATTTACATATCTATTCAATAAAGCACTGATTTTTTAAAAAAAGAAGGAAATATTTATTTTATTACTCATTTGTTATTTACTCAAATAATTAAAAAGAAATAATGAAAAGTATTTAAATCTGATGTATTATTAACATAAGTTTTCAAAAAAAAAAATTAAAAAAATAAAATGAGAACAAATTTACAAATTTAATTATAAAGAATATTATATAATATATTTTATTTATAAGACAGTATATAAAAAAAATAAATATAATCAATATATTTAAAATAAGTTACAATGATATCCTAAGATTTATGGAAACATTAAGGATTAATCTACATTTTCTTCTTGTTCATCTTCGTGAAAATTTTCGAAATACCCAGAATCTATAGATATTAAATCAAAATTATTATTCCTACTTCGTCTGTAATGTGCCTTTATTTTGATAAAATTATAATAACTTGTATATTTAAAAAAAAAAAATGGCAATGTAAATATGCATTTTTAAATGTTTTTTTTAAAATACCTGAACATATCGGAATAATATAAAAGTATAAATTGTCATAATAATGTAAATTATATAAAAAAAAATAAATATAATCTTATTCGTAGGACTATCATTATAAGTGTTATTATTTGAAATAAGTGGTTTATCCTCTAAAGTAGTGTTTAAAGGTACTGCAGGAGTTGCAGTGGTGTTATTTTGGTTATAGGACATAATAAATAAATGATATGTTTAATGTTCTTTATAACATAATTTACTTTAATGTAGTTAAATTCAAACTAAAATATTGTTGATAACTTTTTATATAAAAAAAATATATTATATTGATTATATATATAAAATTGTGAAAAAAAAAAAATAATAAATAAAGAAGAAATGTTCCATATTATACTAGTTTAAATTCATTTAAAATATTGGTAGATTAATATTACGAAAAAAAATATACTTAAAAATTAAAACTTCATTTTTAACCTTAAATAATTAATAACACAAATTATATATATTTTCTATAAAATAAACTTTAGAGAAGGTTAAATAAGTATTTAAGAAAAATTAAGATTTTTTAATTTAGATATATTGTTTTTACATAAATAATTATAGAAACATAAAAATTAACTAAAAATAACGTAAAATTTAAGTAAATATACATTAATAAAACATTAACTTTTAAATAAAAAATAATTATATTTTATTTAAAACCTATTTTGGGTAAAAAATAAGTAGATATAAAAGAATACGAAAGATTAAAGCACTAATTATATTCTTTCATGCTTACTAAATATTTTTCATATATATTTAATTTAATATTAAATTTAAAAAAGAGTTATTTTATTAAAAAAAAGAGATTTTTTTGGATATGTTTTTAATTATACTAATTTTTTTTTTTTTTATAAATTTAAAATAGTAATAGAATTAATAGAGTTAATTGTAAATATAAAAAATTTACTAATTCTAATAAAATATTAAAATATTGCTCATCATTATATATTATATATTTTTTATTAAATTATAAAGTAACACAAATAAATAACTTTTTTTTTTTTTTTTATCTTTAAACAATTATATTTTGTTATTAATTTATTTCATTAATGCGCTATTTTTAGTATATAATGTTTTTTAACATGTATGCGATTTTAGTACATATTATTGTAGATACACTTTTAGTAGTATATAACAAAATATCAATAATTTTAAATTTTAACAAATTATAATAAAAAAATATAAATATTAATTGTTACTTTGTTTATTTAAATTTATTTTTATTTTATCAGCATGTATATAATTTATTTATTTTTTCATTATATTGGTTCTATAATTATTGCTTTAAAACTTTTGTTATGAAATATAAAATTACTTCATTAATTTTCATTCTTATTATGAATGTAAAAAATTATTTATGCTAATTTAAGAAAAAACATTTCTTATTATGAAAAAAAAATTAAATTAAAAATTAACTAATGGTAAAACTTTTAAATACATAGATATGTTATATCTAATAATTCTTTTTTTTTACATAATATTTGATTCTTAATTTTAAAGGAATATTTGCTAAAAAAAGAAAAAAAAATATTTTACTCTTAAATTTTTACAAAAATAACGGAATATTATATAATCTTATTTAGATATATATATTATTTATTATAAAAAATTCGAAATATAAATTTTATTAATGTAATTTTAATTATTCTTTTAAATGTTGTTAACTTACAAAAAAAAAAAGAAAAAATCACAATAGAAACACATAGAAATATTAAATTACCAAATAAATAGTAATAAAATTTTCATTAATTTTAATAGTTTATTTTATTTTATTACTTTTTATTAAGTTAATTTATAGTTTTGTACTAAAAATTATATCATTTTTTTTTACAAATTATCCTATACACATTTGTAAATTTTTAGAATTTATTCTATGAATATGTGAAATATATAATCAGTTTTTTAAGCATCATATTTTTTATTTCGTAAATTTTTTACAGAAAAAAAAAAAAAATTAATAACATAAAGTATTTAAATAAGGAATGGCTAAAAAATTTTATATTCATTATAACTCTTTGTATTATTTATAAAAATATTTCTTTTTAAATACGTTATTCTTAAAAAAATTTATTAATACGGAAAATAT